CAAACAGCCCCAAAAATCGATTTTTGGGCTATCTAACAGCGTGGCTAAAAGAGTGAAGACGAGCTGGTAAAAATTGAACAAGTATACCAGTTTGTAGGAAATTGTTTGCTCTACAAGATGTGACAGCTTGTAAAGTTCGACCCTTCGTTCGTGTGCACACAAGTTCGTGACACTTTTGACGGGTTTTTGGTTTTTCTTTGATTAATACAGATTAATTAGAATAGTTTCGAACTTGATAAGCTGTCACACCTTGTAGAGCAAACAATTTTCTACAAACTGGTATACTTGTTCAATTTTTACCAGCTCGTCTTCACTCTTTTAGACACGCTTTTAGATAGCCCAAAAATCGATTTTTGGGGCTGTTTGTACAACAGCTGTATTTTCATAACGAATCAACGTTCAAAGCCGAGACACTTTTCATTTTGTAGAAAAATGTTTAATCTACTTTATTATCTAGTTACCATTTTAGATTAGTTTGTAGCTTTATTGCAGTAACTTTTTGAAAAAGAGCAAAAACTAGAGGCCGTTAGCTGGACAAGCCGTTCTATTGTTTGGGTTCGAAAAAATTCATTGTTTTGTCCTTTAAGACGTTATAAAACATAAATTAGCTTTATACTATGTTCTGTTTATTTTAGATGCGAGCTTGGTGGAGTGATGTACGATTTGTGGGAATCATTATTAATCGAAACAGAGTTAGAATCTCAGGTACACAATGTGATTTCCTTGTATATGACTTCCATCATTCTTCTATTTTAGTCATTAAAAAATTTGGCTTATTCAATGGATAAACATATTAGTCTGCCATTAAATAATCTTGTTCTCAACAAAAATCTTCAATTATCAAATAATATTCAGCAGCGTCAAACTTTTGAAGCTATCATGGAAAAAGGACATGAAATTGTTGATTGTGTAAGTATTATGGAGTGCTTCTGAATAGTTTCTTCTTCCATTACATAGCCACAAAGATATAACGACTCTCATCATGTAGAGCATTAAAAGTCACTCAACAGCTACTGCCTCGGGATACGTGTGAAAACTATTTTTACTATCTCTCTCTGAGCTCATTTGATCAAACCAAAATGACACTTCAGTCTATATTAGATGAAATGAAAATCCACTATGTCAGATCTCATACGTGTTTTCTCACTTTTTCCAAGATCAGTTTTCTTGAAATCCGGATCCACATTAGAGCCCTGCAGGTTAAACTTAACCTATGGGTTAGGTTCAACCTGCCTATAGGTTAAGTACCTATAAGTTAGCTAAGGTTTAGGTTATGAAATTTTGTATAGGTTAGGCTGTAGGCTACGCCATTGATAACTATTTTTAACCTAAACGAAAAAAATCAATTTTGAATGACCACACTAAAACAGCCAACACTTTGAATCATAAAGCGTAGTCCGAGTGGAATTTTATCGATTGATGATAAAGTTTAGACTGAGGTTCTCTAGTTTAAACTGAACTATTTTTAAACTGAAAAATAGCATAATCAAACAAGGAAGTACAGAGAAAAAACTTCCGTTTGCTAAAAATAGATGGCAAATACATAACAATAATAGAACCTTCGTAGCATCGAGAGTGTAAAGTGAAATTCTGGTCTACTCTTAAGAGGGTCTCCCTATTCGAAAGCTGTTTTCCAAAGATTGCATTAAAGAATAAAAGACTCAACCGATTCATTTCTATATTCATGTAAACTGTTGTGTTTGTGAAAAAAAATTGTGTTTATCTTGTAGCAGAAAGTTAGGATTTTGGAAAGCCAAAAAGTGAAATGACACGTATAAGACCCAATGAATTTTGCTGTCCTAGTCGAGTAATATTTAAGATGAAAATATTTGTAATTCTGATTTGAACTAGCTTAGAAAAATCAGTGGAAAACAAGATTCTAAACATTTTTTTGAGGAAGTAGATATTGGGTGATTTTAGATAATCTGCACAATGAGATTTGTGTTGACTATTTAATAGTGAAAGGAGCTGTTCGAAAGCGTTCGTAGATTGTTAAAAAAAGTAATTTAATTGGATTTGTAGATTAGACAAGAGTATATGAAAGCATTTGAAACATATGGTTTGACCCCAAATTTTTATACAGCACGTAACGACTACATCATCGAACTGGTGGGTTTCAACACAATGTTATCGAAGCATCATTACAATATACTGCCGTCAGTGCTAATGGTAATTTTTCCAAAACCAAATAGCTCTTATATAGTTGATATTTTTTTGTTCAGGATATGGAAGAGTCAGAAATCGAAGTAATTGAAGGCATATGTTCATCATTAAAATCTTTAGCACAAATACTACAAGATCAGGTATGAACAAGTTCAACTGTTTTAAATTGAGGGCTGTCAGAATATCCATGTAAGGTGTAAGATTGTCTTTAGCATGATACAGAGAGCGAGATGATATAACCTGCAGAGACGTTTATTCTACTTTTCATCTGTTTCAACTTGTCGGTTGAGAAGTCAGTTTTCAAATCTAAAATCTTGTCTTCCCACATACTTTCACCTGTCTCCATCTCCCTCTACCATCTCTTCTTACGTACCGGTAGAATTATTTTCCTAAGTTCTGAATTTGCTTGAAAAATACAATCGAATCCTCATATCGTGCAAATTTGGTACGTTGCACTTTAGAATTTGAATCCTAATACCATTGCTTCCCTTTCATTAATGAAAAGATGAAATATATGAAATGTATCTAAGCCTATCGTACATGGTCTAAGTTACGGCATTACTTTATCTCAAATTCTTATACCTTACACATTTATTTGAAAGTAGAAAATAACTAAATTACTTTCTTTTTGGTAATTTTTGTTAGCATGAACAACGTCAACATAGTCTCAAGTCGTTTGTTTTAACAAGTTCAAATTCGAATGCAAATGAAGAAGTAGAAAATTATATTTGTTCAATGAATGAAAACGGTGATAGTATAGAAATGACAAAAATTGATTATGACGTGTTTATCCCAGCAATAGATTCACACGATACTGGTGATGATGGATTGATTATGACACCATCATCAGCAATAATACAAACAAACATCATCAGTCGAAAAAAAGAAATAAATGATAGATTGAAAGAAATTAAAAAAGAGAAAAATATGTTACAAATAAAAACAACAAATAAAAATGACGAACAGCAGTAGGTTCTGACACTTCATTCTATCTGACATAGTCGAAGCTGGATATATTGTACACTTTTCTTGATGATAAAGTACATAAATTAAATACCTGGAAAGAGGTTAGCAATGGGAATGGATGACAGAATTACTCAGTGTTAGGCATAAAAGTGACCTTCGATGATTAAAACTGAGTATCACATGTGATTAGTATCGTGTCAGCTCGGAAGTAGCCATCCTGATTTTTGTACGTAATCCTTTCTTTTGTACCTGGAAAGATTATGAATCCGCCAGTGCAAAGTTCAGATAATCAGAAGTTAAAGATTTAGTAGGAAGCAAACAACGCGGATTTCTACTCATCAATTACTACCTAATTAATAAGCCTCAGAAAAGACAAAAATTGTAATTATAATTAGAGTAGTCATTTCCAGAAAGTCATCGACCTAAAATTATATTTCATCGAATATTGATACCATTAAGTCATATCATCCGAGGTGAATTCAATAGTTGTTCGACCTTTCCTACTATATGCAGTGATAATAAATTGTTTCAATTTAGGAACCGAAATGTGCAAAATGCCAGTGATACAATGCATAAATTACTACTATTAGAATTAGAAGAAGCAGTTTTAATAGCACAGGTAATGAAAATTCTTAGAAACTGTTAAAATTCATTTATATATTCGATAAATCACACTATACCCAGAGGTAAAAAAATTGACAAAAAAACGCGTTAAATGTTTCAAAACCAAGAATACTTACTTTTTGTCGTTTAAACGCGTTTTTCTTTATCTATTCGTTTGAAAAGGCGTTTTCCGGAATTTCGTAACGCGTTGCTTTTGTGTTAAAAACGTACGAAAAACGCGTTTTCAAACGTTCTAGAACGCGTTTCAGATGAATATCATTTAACGCGTTTTTTGATCGTTAAAAACGGAATAAAAACGCGTGAGAACAGAAAATTTTAGTAAAACCAAAGGTGAGACTTGGCTACCCAGCAGGACTTTGATCTAAAAATAGTTGAAAGTCTATAATGAAGGAAGTACAAAACTGATGATCTATAACTGAAAAAGAACGAAAAGAAGATGATATTTCTTCGATATTTCGATTGTGTTTATATACTCGAGTAACCGCAAAACAAGCCGGTGAATGCCCGGGGGTAAAAAAGTTGACAAAAAAATGCATTTTGTTTTCATTTTTAGCGACCAAAAAAAACGTGTTAAAGGTTTCAAAACCAACACTTTTTTTTTATCGTTTTTCTTTTATCTATAAATAGGCGTTTTTCGAATTAGCGAACGATCGTTAAAACAGCCGTTTAAACGCGTTTTTTGTCGTTCAAAACTTCAGAATAACGCGTTTTTCGATAATGTGTTTCATAATGATCGTTAAATTAACCGTTTTCTAGCGTTTTTGTTGAACGCGTTTTCTAACGACGTTAAAATGATATAACTTCGCATTTTTTTCTTTTTGTAAACGTGTTTAGAAACGACACGTTAAAACGTGTTTTTATATAAAATAAACGCGTTTCAATGATCATTTTGACGCCGTTAGAAAACGCGTTCAACAAAAACGCCAGAAAACGGTTAATTTAATGATCGTTAGCAAACGCGTTGTCTAAGAACGCGTTATTCTAAACTTCTGAAAGACAAAAAACGCGTTTAAACGGCTCTTTTAACGATCGTTCACGAACGCGTTCGGAAAAAACGCGTTTTTCGTGCCGTTTTGTAACGATTTTTTTTCACCTGGATAATTTCATCCCATATCAAAATCTCTTGACGAATGGTACTCTATGGTTTTCCACCATAAGAATACTAATTGGATAAAGACTACAAATGATCAAAATAATCCCTGATTACCCCTAAATAAGACTTAGAAACTTGAAGCAAAAGTCTCCGTTCTATAGTATTATATTCCAGTTGACATTTACACATTCAATTGCGTGTTTGCCATTGTTGTTTTCTGTCAAAATACACTTTGGCATGTATTAAAGCTAATATTTCGTTGATGATATCGAAAGAAAAGCACAGAATTGTTTTGTTCCATTTGGGTGTTATAGATTTCGACCATAATGAACGTTTAACATATAAAATATAATAATAATAATGGTTGCGTGTTTCATTGTTTTTCTTCTATTCTTTGTCTACACATACAGTAGAAAAAAGGAAAACAATCAACCTAGATCAACGAAATTTGGAAATGTTTGGAAATGTTTTGCAAAGATCATATTTGAACAAGTTAAGGGATTTCATAACATCGCCTAAAACAATTTCTTACATCATTTCATGAGAATATGTCGTTCTTATTCCTTTCACAGCAATATCCTGCAATATTTTATAATATGGCTTGTCCACAGGTAACGCGATGATGCATTTTCAGCGTCAACACTTATTTTCTCACACTTGTGAGCAGGAATAAAAGCGAATGTTGCATTATTTTGCAGATCCCGATGGCTTCTATAAGAAAAGATTTGAAGTATGACCTATCGTTCAAATATTGCAACGTTTGTAGCGTCGGTTATGTGATGACATTTTTAATCGCGTTACGACTTTCTTGGTTTTTCTTTAATTAATACAGATAAAATGAGCTAGTTTTGATATTGAAAAACTATTACATCCTGTAGAACAAACAATTTTCTACAACCTCATATACTTGCTGAATTTTTGTCTGCTCGTTTTCACTCTTTTAAACACGTTTTTTAGATAACTCCATAATTGATCTTTTGGGCTATTTGTACAACAGCTGTATTTTCGTAATGAATCAACTTCCAGAGTCGAAACACTTTTTATTGTATACAGAGATGTTTAATCTATTTAATTAATCTCGTTTATTGATGTAAAAGTAGAAAATCCAAAAGATACAAGCCACAAAAGCGGATCGAGGATCCGTATACATGTGGTCACCGTAAAATCACCATAATACCATAATAAATCATCATAATACTATTTAATTATCTATTTGGAATCTTAGATTAGTTTGTAGTTTTATTGCAAGAATTTTTTGAAAAAGAGCAAAAGAAGGGTACCGTTAGCCGGACAAGCCGAAATAAGAACTTCGAGAAATTACCAAGATTTTCCATGAATACATAATATCTTCCTTGGATTCACGATACAAGGCTAAATTACTGATCCTTTGCTATCAACTGCTTCAAGGTTTTGTTTTTTTAGTGTTTTCTAGGACAGGTAGGATTCGTGTGCCTTGAAACGTAGTTTAATCAGGTTCGATAGGCATTCACTTCATTTTTGTGTTTAACTAATGAATAAAGTTGGAAGAAGAAAAAAATTTATATTCTATCTTATAAACCGATGGCAAATTATTACACCTCGTAATGAAATTTATGCCATCTGATGAGTCATCGACCATTTTAAGAAGATATGATAATAAAAGAAATTTAGTTCACAAATTAAACTCATAATATTTCACTTGGTCATGCAAGAACATAGCGTATGATTTTATAAGATCTTGCCAAATCTTACATATTGATGTTATAAGATCTTAATAAATCTGTCTTATAACCGTTTTCAGTTACAGAAAAGTCCAGGCTTTGGAAATTTGGACTCGTTGTTACTCCACATACAGGTCTCGACATTGTTTATGTGTAATTCTTCTCTCATCCAAGTTAAGTATCACTAATAATTTAAAAAGAAATTTAGAGAAGAGCGCTATGATATTTTAATAGCTCTAGATAAATAAATAATAGAGGCCAGCCGTCTCTGTTATTCGACAGCCAAGACTTGAGGGCGTCTTTTGTAAAAAGAAAAATTCAAAACTTCTTGTTGAATGTTCTTTTCTCCTAAGAGTTCACAGGATCGCAAACTAGCTGATGGGGGAACCTTTCAACTGTTACCTCGCTTTTTCAGCTAAATCCAGTGGCTTATAGGTATTCGACCACGCTGATTCCGAATATGAACATGAGAGCTGCCATTAGGTCTTCCATGATCCGGTTTTTTGAAAACCAGGTTTTCAGAAACTCTAAAAGATAACCAAAACCTTTCTTAATGAGCGAGCCATGATTATAGTCTGCAACTTTCTGATTAAAATGAGACATCTCTCAGCTCTACATGACCGTTTTTTGAAAAGTTATAGAATTTACAAGAAAAGTCCTAAATTAATTTCTTTTTATTTCTGCTGCTTTGAGCTGACAATGAATACTTAGGGCTTTTCTTGTAAATTCTATAACTTTGCAAAGAAGGGTCGTGTAGAACTGGGAGATATCTCATTTTAATCAGAAAATTGCAGCCTATAATCATGGCTTATTAAGAAATGTTTTGGTTATTTCTTAGAGTTTCTGGAAAACTGGTTTTCAGAAAACCGGATCTTGAAAGACCTAATGGCAGCTTTCATGTTCATATATCAACGTGGTCGAATACCTATAACCCACTGGATTTAGCTGAAAAAGCGAGGTAACAGTTCGAAAGGTTCCCTCGTGAGTTACGAGTTTTTGAAATCTTGCATAGAAAGAGGTTGGAATTGATCTATTCCAACTAAAGTAGATTATCTTTAGATTTTTAATTATTTAAGTTGTTGTAAGAAAATAAACGACAACAGGCGTAGTCAATAACATATGTTCTGTTTGTATTTTTAACTTTCCACTGATCATCTCATTCATGCTGATCTTGAAGATCGCCCGAAAACTCGATGTCAGTCTAAACGATGATAGACGAAGAGTCCTGACGGCTTCCATTTTGAAAGTAAACACGTCGGCCAATCGGCTCATAGCTACACAAGCTATTCAAAAGATAATAGACTTTACTATTTGAAATACATAGTAGTATAGTGTTACACGATATAGTGATATAATCTTGTAATATTACATTGTAAAAATCTTGCAGAAAGATTTCACAAAAAAACAACAAATTTTGTACGATGTGTTTCATCTGGATATACAACAAGATTCTATTATCTTTTCTGTCGACAGTATTATAAAAATTGTAATCTAATTACTTGTTGTGTTGACAAATATTGCCAACTCCACATTACGCGATATTTCCATATTTTTTAATATTGCAGACATCAGTTGTATCGTTCAATACA